ATGGTATTTTTCTAAAAGATTTTTTCAAAGATTATTGCTAATAATTAAAAATTGTGAGATTTTAAATAAACATCTGTATGTCTTCTTTCTCTTCAAAAATAAAAGATATGGCACAAATGGTTAATATTCCTTATGACAAAAATAAGTGCAGCTGAGGGGTGTTCTACCACAACTGGGACATTCATTCTTCCCACTGCATCGTGATTCCTGCCACTCCCAAGTAAGTTCAGATACGCAGCCTAGACTCAGATCCTACTTACCACTTATGTTGGAGCTACTTGGTTTTATCTCTCCTGACATACTCTACTCATTCATAACCTGACTCTTTTAAGACTTGAATTTCCAAGTCTGTTCATAAATAAATGACTGCCCTGTGGATAAAGCAACATACGAATAAGTATCTAGAGCAGTGCAAAAAGTTACCACAAAACTTAGCATCATAAAACAGTAAACATTTATTGTCTCACAAGGTTTCTATGGCTCTAGAATCTGGGAGCAGCTATGTGGGTGGTTCTGGTTTGGAGTCTCTCTTGAGGTTACTTTACAGCTGTTGGCTCATGCTCAAATCTTGACTGGGGCTAGAGGTTCAGCTTTCAAGACGACTAGTTTACCTGGCTTCTGGCTGGAGATCTGCTTTTCTTCCCATGTGTGCTTCTCTACTAGGCTGCTTGGATACCCTCGTAACATGTCAACTGGCTTTGCCCAAGGACAGTGATCCAAGAGAGGGCAAAGAAGATCATGCTTTTTATGAATTTGTCACCGAAGTCACATATCATCACTGCTGCCTTATACTCTTCATTAAAAACGAGTTGCTACCCATGCGCAAAGGAAAGAAAGCTAAGCTCTACTTATTAAAAGGAGAAGTGTTTATGAAACATACCTTGGTTTAGAGGTCTTGACTGAGTCATCAAATAATTGCCTTATTTTAATCTGGATACTAGTCTAAGTAAACTAAGAACCTTGAGTGGTTCCAATTTTATAATCCTTGGAGTTTGAACATTTGTGAAAAGTGTTCAAACTTAAAGTTTTTTTAACTCAGCTTTAGGATAAACTACCAATTTTAGTGAAACACAAACTTTCAGTTACACCTGCATAGCCTCTTTGGGGAACTGTCATACGCTTGTATATACTAGTCACTTCATAGCACAATGACTGGATGTGTAATTTCAGGATCACTGTAGACAAATTTCTTTTTAAACACTTGTTAACTGCAGTCTTCAGTAATACCCTGAATATTAGTGAGGTCACTGTGTTTTACTTTTTCATTGCTTTTTTTTATATGACTATAGTATTCAGTCTCAGCAGCAAGCAAGTCATCACATTCTTTTTCTCAAAGACAAAGGGTGGAGGTTTTGAAAGCAGGAGAAGCCTGAGAAGAGTAAGTTTAGAGCTAAGCCAGAAAATGCTGTAGAGACTCCTCTCCTGATTCTCTTTGTTGATATCCTTTAAATTTTAAATCTCCAGACTGCTAGATGTCCAGTTAATGTATTGCTGGTAGAGGCATTAAGAGGTTTTTTTTTTTCTTCTGAATATTTATTCTTTATGTTTCAGGGCTATTCAAATTTTGGTGGCAAAAAGGGTTATACATACACAGCAATTTACCTGTTATGATAATTTTAATTTATGCAGGGTAGGGTTCTTCTACAAAACTGATGCCGTATCAGATTCACAGCATTGACACAATATGGACAGTATGATCTCACTAAAACTTTCTCCTTCTACCATTTATCAGTGAACAAACCTAACAGACCTTCTTTTTTGCTAAGATAGACTATCTGCTCCATTTTTTGATACTGTATTTATAGCATTGAGCTCTGTAAGTTTAGTATTCATTTCCTACTCAGAACAGAGTCAGCAGCAATATTAACAGGTATAAATCTATATAAAGCCTTAAATAGTTCTACAAGGCTACAATGTTACTATACTGTTTTCCCTCAAAAGTCACTGACTTTCCTTGAAATATTATGCAAGATTTTTAACACCTTTCCTCTAATTTATTGGGTTTGATGGTTACGCTGTTTGCTAGTTTGGGTTTCATAAAGTACAGTGGAATTAAGTTTTTGAAAAACATAATGTGGGTTATAATTTAGAGATTGTTGCAGCTTACTCAACTACTTTCAGAATTCAAATTCTACTTGTTTCTACTCAAGTGATTTAAAGTATATACAATGACCCATAAGACAAAGTATTATTGTTAAATTTCCAATACTAAGGAATATAATCTTTTTTAAGAAATATCTTACAGGCTTTATAAAATAATTTTCAATAAATTCCTACTCTAAAATAACCTGTTTGTTAAGTACAACTCTTTTGTTTTATATATATATAACTTCTGGATATATAAAATGAAAAGAATGTCAATATAATGCAATATAAACAGCACAGATATTGTCCAAACACTAGAAAGAAAATTGGAGGCTTAAAAACAGGATGATTTCTCTTTTACACACTTAAATTCCTCATCAGAAGAAAAACTATTTAAAAAAAAACTGTTCTAAAAAATAATTTAGAAAAAAATCTAAGTAAAAGGTATAGCAGAAGGACAGCAATTTAAGAATAAGCGGAAGCAAACAAAAACCACTAAACATCTGATGAAGTTCTCTATCACGTATCTGTAAATTCCCAACTAGAGATGAGGAAGGAGACCCAGGCATCTGGAGTTACCTCCCCCTGGACTTCCATATGACGTTTCAATAGAAGAAAAGGCTGGCCAACTGGCACCTCCTGAATCCCCTTCCTGTAAATGGCAGGCTTGGTATTGGGGAAATTCTCCAGATGACACTGTTTTTACTTAAAACAAGATCAAACCTCCATCCAAAGACCAGAACCTTTACACATGTGACTCCTAAAACTGTAAACCCAAAACCCTTTCTTATGTGATTCCTACAACTGCAAACCCGAAGCTCTTTCATGTGCGATTTTTAAAGCTGTAAACCCAGAAACCTTTGCTGTAAATCTGAAGCCCGTTCACTCATGATTTCTAAGGCTGTAAACCTAAGATTATTTCATGTGTAATAGCTAGAGTGCAAGCCTATATAAAGGCAGAGCCTTCCTTTTTTGGAGGAGCTGGGTAATTTGGAACCATCGCCCATCTCCTCGCCGTAATAATAATAATAATAATATTAATAATAATAAACTCTTTCCTTCCCCATTCAGCGTTCAAGAGATCTGTTTCCTGCGGCCGCTACTGCTACAGGGAAACATAGAGAGTGCTTTAAGGACCTAATTAATTGGGCATCAGATGCCAACTTTTACATTTCCACAGAACTCTACTTTTTTAAAAGTACACTCATGTACAACTTCAAGTGATTCTCACAACTTTGTGATATAGACAGATATTTTAATGTCTATATTTCCCTATAATAAAAATTGAAATAGAGATCATCTTAACACTTAACACTTGTTTTTTGTTTGTTTGTTTGTTTCTTTCTTTTGAGATGGAGTTTCGCTCTTGTTACCCAGGCTGGAGTGCAATGGCGCGATCTCGGCTCACCGCAACCTCCGCCTCCTGGGTTCAGGCAATTCTCCTGCCTCAGCCTCCTGAGTAGCTGGGATTACAGGCACGCACCACCATGCCCAGCTAATTTTTTGTATTTTTTTTTTTTTTTTTTTTTTTTTTTTTTAGTAGAGACGGGGTTTCACCATGTTGACCAGGATGGTCTCCATCTCTTGACCTCGTGATCCATCCACCTCGGCCTCCCAAAGTGCTGGGATTACAGGCGTGAGCCACCTTTTCTCTCTTTCCTTCACAAGAGAGAGAAAGACCCATTCTTAAATAATAATTTGCAACATTTAAACCTTATTCGTTTATCTGGATATTTTTTATTTAACTGAAAATCAAAGATGATAAAAACACATTGTTCCCTAGAAAATAAATTTCCAAATCTCTCAATTAACAACTGTTTACTTTTTGACATATACTCCTGAACATTCATTACCCAAAAGAAATAATAAAATGAAAAACCAGAACAACAACAAACAACGAAAAAACACCTCACAAGCCTGAGAAACAGTAAAAGGGCTAAAGTATGGTAGAATATAAAATTTAAAGGTATAAATTAAATACATATTCCAATGGGCTTCTCGTAAATTGTATAACTTTTTAAGTTATTTTGACTATATCACAATATTCAGAATTACAAATATTAAATAGTTTTCTGATTATCGTCCTGTAAGCAAATGCAATTACTGAAATTCTACTTAGATTAGCCAATCCTCCCACCCCCCATCTACCACGAACTTCAGCTTAGAGCCAGGCATTCACTAAATCAAAACTCAGCCATCATCACCAGAGTTCTTTATGCTATCCACTTTAAACATCTTTTGAAAAATTCAAACTATCTTTTTAAACTGAAACCTACATTTCAAAGATCAGCTTCTAATATCAATATAGTAGAGGTTAATTATTTGCTCCATGGAAGCCATACTTCCCTTTTAGCTTCCTAATAATTTTACATATGTGGCACCTTTTTTCCTCAGAAGATTGAATCAAAGGAATGGAAATAAGACTCAAATAAGTAAAATCTCTACTCACTCCAAAATACTGGAAAGAATTACTCAACGGGAAAGTATTTCAATCATTGGTCAAATGGACCCTGTAGCCCTGTCTCTTGAATTCTATCTATGGATCAAGCTATTCTTTATTCAATGGAGATAAGCCAAGATTGTCTTTATTGTGACAAATGCACAAGGCCCTTAAACTTTCCAGGACTGCAGTAAAACACAGAAATTAACAATCATAAAATAATACAAGTCATAGTAAGCCAAGAATCAGTAACAGTAAAGTTAGCTTGGCTAACACTCAGTTTCTGATATGGATAATCTTATAAGTCTGCTTGCTAAAGAGGAAAAGAAGAGAGAAGAAAACTTCATAGAGGTATGCAATTTGAATGTTGCTCTGGTGTTAATGGAGCAGTAACTTTCCTAAGCTTTTAATGGGTCATAATAAATCAATCCCCAATCACTACAAATCAACCAAGCTATAGAATCGTTTCACTTACCCATGATGGTTAGGGCTGTAGCTTTTGTTAATTCTTCTTTCATTGACTCGATTACTTCTAAATTACCACCATCCAGGTTGCATCTATTTATGGTTCCATTCCCCGAACTGATCCAATAAAGTTTGTTTTCCACATAGTCTATTGATAGACCTGTAATTAAATTTTACAACTTAAACATAATGATAGCCACTTAAATCGTAGTATTCACCTAGAACCACTGGATTTGAGGGGGAAAAAAATAAGTCAAAAGCTCAGATGTTTGTCTTTACAAATAAGATCTGGCTAATAGGAAAAGATATATGCTGTTTTGGGTTTGTTTTGTTTATTTTTTAGAGACAGGGTCTCACTTTATCAGTTAGACTGGAGTACAGTGGTGCAATCATAGCTCACTGAAGCCTCAGAGTCCTGGGCTCAAGCAATCCTCTCATCTTAGCCTCCTGCATAGCTAGGATTACAAATGTGCACCACTATGCCCAGGTAATTTATATTTTAATTTTTTAACAGACAAGGCCTCCTTATGTTGCTTAGTCTGGTCTTGAACTCCTGGCTCCAAGGGATCCTGTCACCTTGACCTCCCATAGTGCTGGGATTATAGGCATGAGCCATGGCACCCAGCTAACATATGCCGTTTTAACTGACAGATAAACATTATACTTTTGTAGGCATTTAGCAGTTATTTCTACAAATTACCAACAAAATCTTGTGCCACTGAGAGAAATGGCAGCTCCGTTTCACAGAGACAAAAAATAGTACCTACAGTAGATAAGAAATCTGTGTTCATAGCTAGTTAGTGGACATTTCAGATATTTTTAGAAAGTTTCTGTTTCCAAATTGAGTGCCTGCCCTATTCATTATGCCACTTTGCCTCAGAAAGTTTTAATGTGTAATGATTCATTTGGGATACCAATTTAACTGATGAAATTTATAATTACTCATCTATTTTCCATAAAATTTATTTAGGCAGTTACAGATTTAAATTGGTGATTTCATCCCTCTTCAAGTAAATCCAAAAATGGAAGATTTTCAGCAAATAGTAATTTTACCAAAGCACAGAATTAAATTGAGCTCATTTGCAGGCTGATATGGGGGAGATAAACCATTTGGCAAGTGAGTGAATCAAGCCAATGGCTTAAGACCTTACTCTCGACATGGCACAGTGTATCCCTGGGGGTAAGGCTGCACTTTATTGTATTTTATGGGCAACTTTACATATTAGAGCAGTGACCATGATTTTCAGAGGTCTCGGGGCAGGTATTTTTTGTTTGCTAAAAGTACTTGGCACACATCTACTTAACTACTGGCATGCTCAACAGCATTAGTATCCACATTTTAACAATAACTCTGTGGAGCCATGTTGGCCTTCTGTGATCCATAACTACTCATGGAAAAGCACATGTGGACATACACTCCAGCACACATTGCAACCAGCTGTTCCTGGACTCTGTCTCTGAGAATAAAGTGAACAAATCACAAATAAATCCTTCCCTTAAAAGAAAAAAAAAAGATGAGAGGAAGAAAGAGCAGATGATTGAAGAGAATCACAGATTCAAGAGCATTGAGAGAATGTCAAATTTAGCCTAATAATACTCAACAAGCAGGGATTCCCAGAACAAAGAATTGGAATCATTATAGGCACTTAAGAGTTATCTCTATGGATTAGACCATCTTTTTTTTTCTAAGAGTTGAGGTTTCACTCTGTTGCCCAGACTAGAACAATTATAGCTCACTACAGCTTTGAAATCCTGAATTCAAGTGATCTTCCAACCTCAGCCTCCTGAACTGCTGGAACTACAGGTGTGAGCTACGTTGCTTAGTTCTGTTTTTTTTTTCTTTTGTAAGTGTTAAATTCTATTTTTGGAAAGAATAAGGTAAAGCTAGTTTATACTCAGAGTCATCACATGTGTGGAATGTGTGGTAATGACTGGCCACAAGGCAATTGTGTTTCTAATTAAATTGTTTCTTCATCTGGGTGCTGGTTATACAGAAAAGTTCATTTAATCAACATTCATCAAGCCATATACTTAGGACGGTTTACTTCCATATGCCTGTGATTCTATCATATAAAGTTTACAATTAAAACATGGGAAGAAGCTAGGGGGTATATGGGAAATTTAAACAAATAAATCCTCCTAAATCAATGCAAAACACAATACCGAGCAATTTAGCGAAGAGGGGCTTCACAGAGGCAAGAATTTTGTCTTTTATTTGGATCTTTCACCAGAGTCTATTATTCAATTTCTTTGCTTCTGAACTGTGCCTAAAGAAAAGGGGATTTGTCATAGTCATCTTATTATGTTCACTGTCTATCATGATGACTAGAACAGAGAAGAAATTTAATTAAAATAAATTTTAATTAATAAAATTAATAAAAGTCTACCCATCAAATAAATGGATAGACTAGTTAATTCTATTATGAAACTATAGCTTGTTTTCAAAGAGTTAGGCCAGGGGAGTTTAGTTATCTTCCCAACTGAATTTTTTAAGGTACTACTTATACTCAGATACTATAACAAGTGAGGAAGAACAATGATTCAACAGCTCCACTTAGTATAGCTTAAATATTTTAATTAATTTTAAGATGGAATAGCTTCAAATTAATAGTTTTAAGAACTTAAAAAAGACAAAGTTTCTGTATTAATCTATCTATCTATCATCTATCATCTATCTATCTATCTATCTATCTATATGCATGTGATACATGTCACTTTACACCCTCTGTATATCTTCTTTCCTGTTAAGTATATTAGCTTAACCCTTAAATGTTCTTGAGCGCATTTATTCTCAGGTTCATAAAATAGAATTGCAATGTTTTACAAATTCTATTATTAATTTTAAAAACTGGTGACATATGCCTTATATTCATAGTATAGGCATATATAAAAGTATAATACATATCTCTGAAGTTTATTAATGCAAATGTTTTTGCATCATAAGATTTTTCATTTTGTTACTATCATTCATATAAGTCCAAACAACACTAAGTAATTAATTGGTATACATGTGTTAGAATAATTTCAGAATAAATTCTCTGTTGTATAAACATTTCAAAAACTGAATCACTAAGCAGTGAACAAATAATTGTCTAATGAAATTAAAACTACTCAGCGATATTAGAATGCTAAATCAATACCCATGATAAAACAGGTCAAATGTGAGCATATTTATAAAACTGTCCTGGAACCTATACAAAGAAATAGAATTATGTCTGCACTAAAGGATCCTCAGAATGGGTGACGGAAATTTGAAAATTTTCAAAAGCACCATAGAATGTGTCTGAATATGTAAGTTGTAACATAGTCTCATTTTTATAAGACATTTAATTAATTTTTGAAATCATCTGAATCTGGCTCTCAAAAGTTAAAATCTAGATGCAATAATGTAATAAGTATATAAAAAAGTCATTTAAATTGAGAAAAAAAACTTTTTGAAAAGAAAAATTTATCTTTTTACCAATCTTTTCTATTTTTATGAAAATACAGTTAATCCATATGCTTTAATTATAACACTTCTTATCAAACCCAAATTTTTCTTTGTATATTATTTTATTTGAACATTTTGATTTAAATAGGCCAGCTTAATTTTTATTGAGACAATAAAAATTGTAAAAATTATGTAATTTCTCTAATAGAACTATTCTACATATTAATATAAGAAACAACTATTTCTCTAATAGAACTATTCTACATATTAATGTAAGAAACAATAATGTTTAAATAATGTAATTTACCTATATACAGTATTTCATATATTATTGAAATAAATTAAGTCCATTGTATTAAGTGTTGTTGCAATTAAGACTAGACAGTTCATTTTGTGTGTCTCATCTCCTTTTAAGTGGCTCAAAATTAAATAAATATACTATTTAGTATGGACTTAAAATAAAAATGCAAAGATAAAGAGGGAATTTTAAAAATTAAAAATTAAGGCTTTCAATAGGTAACTTTCTAATACGTTTTCATTACCTACTAAATTTAACTTTAAAATTCTTATGCCTAGCTGGAAATTATAATCATCTGGAAAGTTACTTTAAAATATTCATCCACAAAATTTCAATTTAATTAATTTTGGCTGGTCCTGGGCCTCAGTATTTTTTAAAAATCTCTCCAGGCAATTTTACAATACTCACTTTTTAAAGAATTATTTTAAACATTGCATATTTTTATAAGCTTTCAAATTTCATATTTTAGTAAATTCAACTGGGCCTTTTAAATTCCACTGGAAAGAGTATCACAATGGCAAAACCTTTGGAGACAGGAATAGTTGAGATGTAGCTGGGGGAAAAAGATAGACTATGAATAATAAAATGTAAAGGATTAACTTCTAGGCCCTCTACACAGGTATGATAAATGTAATCAAAATCTTCTAAATATTCTTTTTCTGGTACTACCTTCAGACAGTAGAAAACAACTCCTTCTTCTGGGACTGGAAAAGTTGTAGAAACTGGTCATTGAAAACACACAAAACATGGAGGAAGACCAATAGGTTACATCACATGCTATACTTGTAGAAGAATTTTAATACTCTATATACCCCAAAATGAAGAGTTTTTTTCAGCCTTCATCAGAAGTGGCATGAGTATTTCTATTTGTGGGGCAGAACTGTTTTGGGAACATTAAAACTTTAGCTCTGATGGAGGCTAGTTATTACACGGGGAAGTATACTATTAGGCTACCTCAAGAAATGCTTTATCCTTCCTCACAATATTTGGATTTTACTGGGTAAAGAATGGATGTGCTGGCTGCGCACTGGCTCATGCCTGTAATCACAGCACTTTGGGAGACCAAGGCAGGTGGATTACTTGCAGTCGAGAGTTTGAGACCAACATGGCAAAACCCCATCTCTTCTTAAAAAAAAAAAAAATGAGCCAGGTGTGGTGGTGCACACCTGTAGTTCCAGCTATTCAAGAGGCTGAGGCAGAAAAATCACTTGAATCCAGGAGGTGGAGGTTGCAGTGAGCTGAGCTCATACCACTCCACTACTGCCTGGGCAACAGAGCAAGACCTGTCTCAAAAAAAAAAAAGAAAGGAAAGAAAGAAAGTAAAGAAAGAAAGAAAGAAAGAAAGAAAGAAAGAAAGAAAGAAAGAAAGAAAGGAGGGAGGGAGGGAGGGAGGGAGGGAGGGAGGGAGGGAGGGGGGAAGGAAGGAAGGAAG